GGGGGGGGGGGCTGTGCAAGTGCAGCGCAGCCAACGAGCGGCGGGGCGGCATGCGGCTGCGCGGCCGCGACGAAGTCAAAGGGGTGCGAGCCAGCAGGGAGCCGCGCCGCTGTCTGTCTCACAGCTGCGGCGCGGCAGCGCCCATCCACCCGCTTCCCCGTCTCGCCCTCGTCTCAAGCCAAGGGCTTCTCAAACTCCTCGCTAATCGCACGCGCGCGCGCCGCGCGCGCGTCGTCGCGTGTGCGATGGACCAGGTGCTCATCGCCAGCGACGCCATCGGCATGGGCCTCAACTTCAACATCCGCCGCGTCGTCTTCAGCACCATGGTCAAGACCATAGGCAACACGCGCGGCCCCGTGCCCCCCAGCCTCATCAAGCAGATCGCAGGCCGCGCGGGGCGCCGCAACAGGTGGGGCGGCGCGCGCGGGCGGGCGGCCGCGTGGCGGACGCCTTCGCCTTCGCCTTGCCGTGCAGGCAGTCGTCCCTGTGGATTGCAAAGCACGTACCGAGGGGTGGGCATGGTGGCGTGTGGCCCCCTGCACCCGGGCGACCAGACACTGCCACCTCCTTGCCGCGCTCAGACAGCCGAGGAGAAGCAAACCTGTTGACCATTCCAAGGCATCCGACGCTTGCCGACGACCTGTCAAGCCCCTTGCCACGCGTCACACCCTGACACCCACAACTCCCTGCTCACCCTCCCTGTCCCCCCTCCCCCGCAACTCAAAACCCCGCGTGAACGTGTGCACTCATGCCCGCGCAGTGCCTACCCCGAGGGCTACGCCACCACCATCGCCGCCTCCGACCTGCCCTTCCTGCAAGAGGCCCTCGCAATCCCGGCGGACGCGATGAACACGCCCGCCGCAGGCCTGTGAGTGGGCCCCCTTGACCTCGGTTTCGTTTCCCCCCTCCCCCTTGTGGTGGCCGGCCCTGGGCCCTGTTGTCTGCCGTCTGCTCTGCTGCCAGCTATCGGCGGGGCAGCAGGCAACCATTGTTGCTGATTGCCCCCGCATGCCGTCCCTCGATCTGGCCACTCCTGCACACTGCTGTGCTGCTGTTATGCCTCCATCACCTCCAACTTTCTCAATCTCAACCTCGCAAGTCGTGCACAAACTGTCATCACTTCTCACTCTCCCTCCGCACCCCCCAAAAAACACCCCACCCGCTTCTTCCAATCTCAACCCCCTCGCCTCCCGACCCACCCCCTCAACCACCCTTGAACCCCAGCGCCCCCGAATTTGAGATGATCGAGATGCTGGCCGGGCAGCTGGGGGACCAGTCCATCGAGCAGCTGCTCAAGAGCTTCGAGACACAGGCCAAGCTGGACGGCACCTACTTCTTCTGCAACCAGGAGTCGCTCACGCAGATAGCCAAGCTCATCCAGGGGGTGGGTCGCGGGTGTTGTGCGGGTCCGCCTTACATATGTGTTTGGGGGGGTCCTGTAGATTGACCCAGGTGAGAGCGCAACTGGCGGCCATGGCTCCGCTGCCGGGGAAGCGTTGAGTAGGCAGCTCCTGGAGTGTCGCGAGCATGGCGCCTGCTGCTGTCTCCAGGCTTGGTTGGGCAGTGGAGGCACTGGCCACGCGGGCGTGGCCGCCCTTGGCCCGCCTCGCGCACCTCCGCCAGCCATCCCCGCCGACCCCCACATTGAAGCCTCCGGTCCCCCGCGCCCACCCTCATCCGGCCCTCCTCAACACCTCGGCCCTGAGGCCAGAATACACTCTAATCTGAACATACAAAACACTGCACACCTAAACATATCGACTTATCATGTGGTTGCTCACCCTATCCCCTCCCCCTTGCCCCCGCCCCCAGGTGCCCAACCTGTCGCTGCAGGACCGCTTCACCTTCCTCATGGCTCCCGTTTCGTCGCGCGACGAACTCGTCAAGGCCGCAGTGCAGGAGTTTGCGCACTGGTGGGCGCGAAAAGGGTTCCGTGAGATGCGACCGGCGGCCCCCGGGCGCGTACGCCGGCGGGGCGAGGCGCGGATGCTGCGCGTTCACGGGCGCTCTCTCCCCCCTCTGAGCCGCGCCGGTATGGGATTGCCGACCTTTGCGGTCGAGCTGCGCCGGTCGCGACGCACGTGGTCCCCTTTGGCTGGATGCTGCTGCCCTCGGCTGTCCCCCTTGCACAACCTCCAACATCCCCCGCTACAAACGAACACACACACACACACAGACATTCCCACAGACACTCTCTCTCACACACATACACACACTTACACACATCCACACACACCGCATACACCAGGTATGCGGCGGGCTCCCCGGTGGTCATTGACCCGAACCGCATGCCCAAGGCCCCTCCCAAGAATGAGGAGGAGATGGCCTTCATGGAGGCACTCCACAGGGTGAGGGGGTGCAGGGGTGGGGGTGCAGGGGTGGGGGTGCAGGGGTGTCTTGCCCAGCGAGGGCTGTTTTCCTTGGGAGGGAATCGTTGTGTTGTCACGTGTAGCAAAATCACGCGCGTCTTTCTTGCGAGTGTGTGATCGTGTGTGTCCAAGAGAGAGTGTGTTGGGGTGTAGGTCTGGGTATGGGTGTGGGTGTGCGTTTGGGTGTGTGCGTGAATGGGTTGGAGTGTGTGAGACGGAGAGGCAGACAGAGAGATGGACAGACAGACAGACAGACAGACAGATAGACAGACAGACAGACAGACAGAACGACAGACAGACAGACAGACAGAGGGAGAGAAAGAGAGAGAGAGAGTGTGTGCGTGTATGTGTATGTGTGTGTTTTACATGTGTGTGTGTGTGTGTGTGTGCGCGCGCGCTTGGTCGCAACTCCTCAATGCAGGCTTGGTGTGCATGGTTGCAACTGCTGGCAATGAAGGGGGCCAGGCCAGCGCCAGCGCCAGAGCGCTGCCCGGCCAAGTCCTTGCCGCAAGGATACGAGCGCCTCGCCACAGCACCACCCAGCAAACCGTTGGTGGCCGCATCGACTTTGCGCTGCGCGGGCTTCAACCCTGGCCTGCCTATCCAAATCAGGTAAACTAACTTAGGGTGGGTGCTGTCGCGCTCTATCCCCCCCCCCAAAAAAAAACCAACAAAACAGGTCCTGTCGCTCTGGATGTGGCTGTCGCTGCGCTTCGACGAGACCTGCTTCCCCGGGCGCGACAAGGTGGCGCGCATGATGAAGCAGCTGTGCGACTGGATGAACCACGGCCTGCAGCTGCTGGGGGGCGCGCCCTCGCGCACCGGCCAGGCCGCGCTCGCGGCGGCGCAGGCGATCGGGCAGCCGGCCGCGCCGCCGG